TTTTTTTATTAACCTGGTATTGGTTAATTTTTCTATGTCCTGGTTTTACTTTAGGGCTGAGATTTCCCAAGTGATCTCTTCCCTGGCTTTCTTACCATTGCTTGGGTGGTGGCAGTGGATTTTTATCCCCAAACTCTAAGTTTTTAAGATTTGGGAAGAAAGCTTTATATCAAAGCCTGGAAAGACAAGGTTTTGGGGTACTTTTGTGGGTCCCCACTTCTGCATTCATTGTGCCAGAGTGGGGATTTGGCCTTGACATACCCTAAGAGCTGAGAACAAAGGGTATGTATATACTACAGCACTATTTCGAATTAACTTATTTCGAATTAGTTAATTTGAAATAAGCTAAATCAAAATGACACATATAGCGTTTTTCTAATTCGAAATAGCACGTCCACATTGAGTGGACCCTGAATCGAAGGTAAGGCTGGCCGGAATCAGCGCCAAAAGGGCATCAGGGTCGGACTTAGTGTGTGGGGCTGCTGCCTCAGGCTAGCCGAGGTCTGTGCTTAAAGGAACCTGATCCCCCATCCCGGACAGACAGTTCTCAGGTTTCTCTGCTTGCTGAGGAACAGCAAAGCATTTGTGTCAGAGAGTGCTCTGCTTGCCCTCACATGGGACACCGTGGCACTCTGCTACAGGGAACCAGACCTGCCCCTGGGGACTGTGCTGCATCTCGTGGACATGTTGCCAGCAGCCTGGCTGCACTGTCTGTGGGCTGCCATCCAGGAGGACCATGGAGGGGCTGTCAGGATCCAGGGGGCCCTGCAGGAGAGCTTCCATCCTGAGGAGCGCTAAGAGTCTCCCCGGTCTGCCCCACTGGGGGCTTATATCCCATTCCTCCCTCTCGTCCTTCCACTTACCTTTCCCTAGCCCCTCCTTCCTGATGTCAAATAAAAGATACGTATTTTCAAAAATATAACCTGTCTTTATTTAACACAACTGGGGAGGGGGAATGAACTCTGGGGAGATGGGAGAAAGGAGGTGCAAGAGGGCAGGAGAGAGGGTTGGAGAGGGGAGGGGGAAAACTGGGAGGAGGGAGCTGGAAGGGGGAAGCAAGGGGAAGAAGGGGGAGGGGAAGCACAGGGCTGGGGGTCTCACCGGGCCAACCCTCTCCCAGCACGGCGGGGAGGGGGCCTCGGTGTTCCCGGGGGGATGGAGAGGAGGGTGCGGAGGTTGAGGTGGGGGGTGTGGACATTGAGGAGGAGGGTGTGGAGGTTGAGGAGGAAGAGGTGGGGAGGGCAGGAGTGGGAGGAGGAACAGTATTTGGGGGGGCAGCAGGTGCAGGACCGGCATGGGACAGCATGATCTGTGGCAGGGCCTGCAGGTTTGCATTCATGGCTTGGTCCTCAGTAAGCTGCTCCCGGCGGAGCTGCAGGTCCTCCAGCATCCAGGCCTGGATGGTGCGGTGCACGGCTCGCAAGTCCCCCAGGTGCTGGTCCTTGTACTCCTGCTGTGTGCTGGTAGTTCGGAGCAGGCCGCAGGTGCGGGAGCATGTCCTGGACGGTGCGCCCTGCACGAGCAGCTGGTGCAGCTGTAGAGAAAGAAGAGAAGTGGTCAGTTCTCCACGGGGACACAGTGGATGATGTCCAGCCCACCTCCCGCAACGTTAGGGCGACTGTGCCCTGCACCGTCAGAGCCGATGTGCTTGCACAGAGGCATGGTCAGGATGTCTGTCTCTCTCCAGGACTGAGAGCTGCCCCAAGACCGCACCTATGCCCCTGTGCCGTGTATAGTGCGGTCGGGGTGCGGTAGAGATGTCCCCTGCCTCTGTGTAGAGGGGGCGTGTGAAGGGAGAGCGTCCTGCTGGGTCCCACCCCGGGGTTGGGAGCGTGTCAGGTCTCTTCACACACGCATGTGCCTATTGGGCCATGGCCCCTGGGTGTCATGCAGCTGGAGCCACCTGCCCAACGGTGGCATGGCACGTGCTTGCACGTGCACAGGTGGCTGCGTGATCCATGGGAGGCAAGGCCCACGCACACAGTTCCTGGTCTCCCACTCCGCCTCCTCCCCGGGTAGGGGATAGTGCTGGCACTTACCTGGTAAGGCCTCCCTGGCTGACCCTGCTGACTCCGGTGCCGGGACAGTTGGAAGTGGCCTCTCTGGTGTGCCCGGGTCAGGGCCCTCCGGTCCCAGCTCGCTGCCTCCCGGGCTGGCACGGACTGCCCCCCCCCCGCAGGAGTCAGTCGAGGGTGGGGAAGTAGGAGCAGGTGTCAGCCCCTGCTGCGGCGCCGCTCCTGGTGGCTCTGGCGTACACCTGCCGCAACTCTTTCACCTTTATCTGCTCTTGGGTGCGCCTGTTGCCTTTCCTGGCCATGGTGGCCGCTATGCAACCATAGATGGCCGCGTTCCTCTGCCTAGTGCGGAGATCATGGAAGTTGGGGGCCTCCCCCAAACCTCAATGAGGTCCATGATCTCTGCACTAGTCCATGAGGGCGTGCGCTGTCTACGGCCCCTGGCTGGCTCCTGGGTGCTGGGGGACTGGGCGGAGGATGGCTGGCTGGCACTGGCTGCCTGGCTCATCCTGGGGCTACTGGGTCAGGGGCAGAGATTGCTGGCAGGCCTGGCTCTGGCAAGTGCTGTCTGGCCAGAGTCTACCCCTTTAAGGGCCCCAGGGTTGGGGGAGAGGAGAGGAGTTTCCCTGGTTTGGCCCAGAGTGGCCACCAGCGGGAACTGGGAAGGGCTGGAGGCCCTCTAATTCGAAATAAGTGTCGACACAGTACTTATTTCGAATTAGCTATTTTGAATTAGGTGTTATTCCTCGTAGAATGAGGTTTACCTAATTCAAACTAAGGGCTCCACTATTTCAAAGTTATTTCAAAATAGCGACTGTTATTTCGAATTAACTCTGTAGTGTAGACATACCCAAACAGTCTCAAAGGCAAAGCAATAGTGCAAGGCACCTCAATGTGAAGAATAGTTTTGCAATTCCTCGGTGTCCTCACATGTTCCTCCTCCACATCCCTACCAGGAAAATGATTATGTGTTCCCTCTATCCCCATTTGAGAGCTCTAGATCTGAAATTTTGTCAGTCTGTGTCACTGCTCTCAGTACACCTCTCACAAATAAAACAAAATAAGTGACGGAACGTTAGATGATACCACTACTATTTTAACCAAAAACTGATTATTATCTACCAAAAGATTGGCATTTGAATATCTGAATGCCCAGAGATATCTGCCTGTGTAGATCTGGTGAGCTGAATAAAACGTGACAAAAAGTGACCCCAGTGCAGAGGGCCAATGTAAGGCCTACATGCCACCTCTGTCTCACTAAAGCCCTCAAAATAAGTCTGTAATCACATGCCAGAAACAGAGATTGATGATCCTTGATCCTGAATAATGACTGTCATGCTGAACTGACATGTTCTGAATTTTACTGTACAGCCACTCCCCAACTTACAAACACACTGACTTATAACCATCTGTACTTACGACCAATCTCCCATTAATCCCATTATAATATTTTTGAGTTGAGAACCATGTACGTCAAGTTTTTCGAACCGCGCAGGCAGTGTGTTTAAGGGTATTTCTGACTTATGACCAAATCGAGTTACGACTAGGTGTTCGGAACGTAACCAGTTCGTAAGTTGGGGACTGCCTGTATATGTTTTTGAGCTAAGTCTAATCCTTTTCTTTTTTCTATTTAGAACATTTACCAGGAGGTGACTATTTACTGGGTATGTCCCAATAAGCACACATAGGGAATGTCTACACTAGGAAATTATTTTGAAATAACTAAATTTGAAATAACAACTCCTGAAATAACAAAATCGAAATAGTGTGTCCCCACTCCGGGGGAGCCTGGAAATTAGCCCAAGACATGCCTCGTTATTGTAGACACACTACCTCGACTTAGAGCCTCTGGAAGCACTGGGGAGTAATTACTTTGAAATAATATTTCAAAATAATAATTTTGAAATAATATTTCAAAATAACAATTTTGAAATAAGCGCTATTCACTGAGGAAAGCAGGAGTACGATTCCAAAATAACCAGCGTGTTATTTCAAAATAACGGGCTTGGTAGTGCGGATGCTCTGCTTATTATTTCAAAATAAGGAGGATTATTTTGAAATAATTCCCTAGTGTACACCAGGGCAGAGTCACTTTTCAGAGGAGAATTCTGAAACCGTGTAGTTCTCCACTCTGCACAAACAAACAGCAGTAAAATAGGACGTACCTTGAAAAACAAGACCTCTAAAGATGGCTCATAGATTATTATATTATGCACTAAATCTGACCAACCAATTTGTCAGTCTGTGGGGAACAGATCAACAGAATTTGAACTATTATTATTTAGTACTCTACATTTTTTGCTTTGTAGGTATTTTTATCTATATTGAAAATATTTTCGCGTCAATAAAATTAGTCAAGAATCAATGAAGAACAAATTAAAAAGTACTGGAATAGAAAATATTAGCATTAATTGGTAAATTAGTGGTGTAAACTACTGATTAAAAATCTTATCATTGTATGTTTAAGCAAATTATCTTTTTTAAATTTTCTAAGCCTCTTAACAGAGGTTTAAACTAGTGTACTATCATACATTTCTTTCTTCAAGTCCATCAAGGGAATTAGATTGGCTGTGATCTGCTGTGTGCCTCAAGGCAAAACCTCAAATATTTCAAGGTTCATTAAGTAAGAAATTTAAACCGCTAAAACACAAAATAGTGATATATAGAGAAATTGACTTATCCTATTTTTTTCAGAATTAAGAATACTGCCAGAAAAAGAGTATTTTCAACCCAAAGCCAACAGAGGCAGACTTTTGTAAGTGCAGAGTTCATTGCTGAGCTGAAGCATATGCTCAACTTTACTACTACCATGAACAGTCACATTGAAATCAATGGAGTTAGTTACTCACAGTAGTTAGGCATATGCCTCAATGTATGCAGGATCGAGGTCTAAACTCTCAACTTTTTTACTAGAATCGGAGGCAAGTTAATGAACAACATTTGAGTGATAAAATGTTTATAGCAATTAAAAAATCCATTTCTTACCTCCACCATTTTTCTGAAGTGTTTTCTTCCTTGATAGCCTCTCCACCATTTCTGTATAATAATCATCATTTTGTTGAGGTACCTAAAACAAAATATTTTGATTAAAAATTATTATATTTAAAGACTAATGTATCTATCAGTAACAACTGGAAGATTTTACCAATATTTTAGACAATGCTATATTTTTCTATACTTATTCCAAAAAGGTGATTTGCATCACACTTACTTAAATTTAATCTTATAAAAGTTATTCATCATTAAGCATTACAAAATAGATTTAAGAATGGGTTTTATGTGACTGGATAAACAATTCATGGAGAATAGTTACTTCTGAATGGTTCCAAACTTCTTTTGGTCAAATGGGAAAATGTTGAAAATTGAGAAAATTCTAAAATTTTCAGTTTGGGGATTCTAGAAAGTTTGACAACAAAAAAAATTGATTTAGTGATATTTCTCCAAGGGGAAAAAAAATTCCCAGCCAGCTTAGGTGTGTGCATTACATGGTTCCAAATCCTGCAAATATTTATGCATGTGAGTGCATTGGTCCTTAAGTGGGGGCATTGTCTGGCATGCCAAGAGGTACTAACGCTTTTTCAGCATGGTTTGGGTCAGGGACTTAGTAGCTTCTGCAAAAAGAGGGAATGGGCCAGTGTGGCAATGCTTACTCATACCCAGGGACCAGAAGGTCTGGGGAATTGCCAGGATCACCCTTTGCAAGAGAAACCCTTTTCTCCCACAACAAGCAAAGCAGCACTCTTCCTCCCTTCCTCCTGAGTTGGCAAACTACGAGGTATGGTCAGGACTGCCATGGGCATCACGCTAGTCGCTCATTTCTAGGGGGGGCAGAGAAGGATTTTTTTCCCTCACCACCACATTGGCCTAGGTCAGCAATTTCTAACCTTTTCCAGTTGGGGACCCATTTTGACAGTTCAGGAAGACTTGGTGACCCAAGGCAATTCAAAACCAGGGGAAGGAGGGCGAGCAGAGTCACCTGGGGAGACACTTGGCAACCCTTTTGAAATGTAATGAAGACCCATATTTGGGTCCCGACCCATAGGTTGGGAAACCGTGGCCTAGGTAGCCTGGATTTTATTTCACCTATCTTCCTGGGGGTTCAAGAAGGGCTTTTGTTATAGTGAGTAGAGAAGGGAATTAGGCTAAGATGTTGCAACTCATTAGGTAAGTAACAGGTCATTGTCCAGTGCAGGAACCCCATAGGAAAGGGATACAGTGACCAGATAAATGGCTTGCTAAAGGACTTACAAAGGAGGTGTTTGTTAAAGGATCAGAACAAGGGGAGGGGGTTTTATGACTCACACGGCAGACAGGACTGACATGGTACTCATAAGACTGACAATCCCCCTTTCTTATACCCCATCTTCACCCTCATTCCGGGGGGGGGGGGAAATGCAATTTTCCTAGAAATGGTTTGGCTGGTGAACCTTTTTCTATGGAAAAAGAAGGAGGCTGGCATATGCCTCTGGGTAGATACTGCATGATAATGGAGCTATGTGCACTTTTATCTATCAAGTAGCCTCAGGCTTCTAATAATAAGTTTGATGCCTCATAACAACTATATTGAGTGTCGTCTGTCCTCTTTTCATTATTGTCATACAATGATTAATTTAAACATTGTTCACAAGTTTGAAAGATTTGGCAGAATCGGGGCCACAGTTTTTAATTACGTGATCAATGCAATTTCTCAAATGATCATAACAATATCTAGCCTGCCAGATCCAGTGATAGAACCCTGGTCTCCTAAGTCATAGGTTGTGCCTTATCCAGTAGATTACATCATGCAATTCTTTTCACAGAATATACCAAAACTGAGGAAGAAAAGTTTGTCCAAAAGGCACTTTTAATGCACAATATGCTATTTTTTTCAAGTCAAACTCAAATATCTCTAGAATACTGAAAGACTGTTCTAAAAAGTCCCTGCTATTTCCATACAATATGGCAACTTTTGGATGCCAGCCATTTTAGCGGTACAATTTTTAAAAAAATCATAAGAATTTTTTTTGTAATGGTAATGTATGTATTTTATGCTATTCAAAAACAGAATAATCATTTTACAGAAACATTAGCTTTCAGAGAAAGAGCAAGTGAAGTACACTGAGAGTTTTAGAAAATTATGAGTGACTGAAACTAAAGGTTAAAATAGAAAAAAAACCCATAATACCTGATGTATGCTCGGACTCTGCATCCTCGAAACCAGCTCTGGATTTGTACAGCAGCATTGTGTTCTACTTTTCTGTATTCATCTACAGTTCTGAAAATATTTTTCAAAATAATCTTTTTGTGATTGGTTTTCTCAGTAGTTTAGTTTAACATCAAAACAATAAATCTTAGAGATTTGTATATACATTTCTTCTTAATGGGACAATTTATATTATTTCTAATCTTTTTCTCCCCCTTAGCTTAACAACATATCACCAATCTTAGGAATGATGAAAGACAAAATATCCTGCCTAGAGTGGGGGACTGGACTTGATGACCTTCTGGGGTCTCTTCCAGCTCTATGGTTCTATGATTCTATGATCCCATGATGATTAGACAGTACAGTAATTACTCATTTAACATGAGCCCGCTTAACATGTTTTCGCACTAGCACAATTTTTTTAGCGAACGTTTTTTAATAACACGATCATCCCCGAAATAACACAAAAACAATCAAGTGGCGGACTATTTCGTGCGGCGATATGAGTTGGTGAAAATAGTGGTAAGACGCATGAGCGGATGCTCACGTGCTCACAGCGCTCCTCCGCTCACTCATGTGTTTATCTTCGTGTATCAACAAACTGCGGTGACTTGTGTTGTTAGTTATCTTGTGTTGCTAGATATCTAATGCTGACATTGATGACCCAGCACCAACAAAAAATTGACTTTGCCACCACCACTTGAAATGCAACCTCCACCTTTTCCATTATTTTTAATGGGAAAAATTGACCCCCCCCCCCATAGTACGTTTTCACTTAGCACTAACATTTTCAGAAACACATCTATAGTGTTAAATGAGGAATTACTGTATACAGATAATTAAGGCCTCAGTTCTGTAAGGAGAACAGTATAATGGCTCAGCTATATTAAGGATTTAATTATAAACAATATAAAACTAACTAATTATAAATTCATAAGAAAAAATTAAGTTATTTTGCATTCTGAGCATGCATCTTTTGTTAACATTTTTGGGAGGGGAACATAAAGTCACATAGGAGACCAGAAGTCACGAGGGTGAAGAGTAAGGCTAGAAAAATGTTATGTAAAAAAATCAATCAATGTCCCAGTTGATCAATTCCAGATGTGTCCTAATGTTTTGGGGTTTTTTAAGGAAAACATTACAAAGAAATGTTCGGGTAAACCAAAGCAGTATTAGAGGAGCTAATGTTATGTGCTTTTTTTTTTAATGAGAAATGAAGTTCCCTGGTACATGTGATATAGAATACCAATGCCAATATGGTACGAACTTCTAGATTTCTTATGCACTAAATGAAAAATGTGGATAACACTTTATTTTAACAGTGTATAAATTAGTGCTGAATTACAACAGAAATCCTATAATAGTGCATAAAATATGACATCAACATGAATATCAGATAAATTCACTATGATCATTATTATCACAATGAGTACTAACTGAATTAATTACAAAAAAGTAAGGGCCTGATCCAAAGCCCACTAAAATCAATACAAAGACTCATTGATTACAATAAGGTTGCATCAGGCTCTAAGAGTACATCTACACAGCAGGGCAAAAGTCAAATTAAGATACGCAACTATATCAACAGAGTAGCTTAACTCGACTTTTGGCGCTGTCCATACTAGGGATGTTACGGACTAGTTGACAGAATAGTCAACTAATTGCTTCCCCCCCACCACTATTCAATTAGTTAATTATAAGATACTTATTCTTAGTCCACACTACAGGAAGTAGAGGGGAGCACACTCTCCCTTCGACTTCCCTTACTCCTCATGGAAGCAGGGCTACCGGTATCAACTGGAGTGTCCCTCTCAGTTTGAATTAGCTGTCTTAACTAGACCCGCTAATTTGAAACCAGGAAGATCTATCGTTCTCTGTAGTGTAGACTTACCCTCAGGGAGTAGAAAAACATAAGAATGGCCATACTGGGTCAGACCAAAGGTCTGGGTCAGACCAAAGAACATTCTTTCTTCGATTTCCCTTACTCCTCATAAAATGAGGGTTATAGGAGTTGGAGTAAGAAGTCCTCCATTTCAACATTATTTTGAAATAATGGCTTGCAGTGTAGAAGTACCCTAAATGTGTTACCAAAGCTACACAGAAGCAGCGTGCAGTGGGGGGAAAAAGGCTAGGAGCTCATCATCATCTTAATTAAAAGTATCTACTATAACTATTGAAAATCCAGTTCTTGCTGAAACACTTTCAAAGGCAGGTGATTCTGTAAGAAGAGGTAGAATTAGACAACTTGATGGGCAACTAATTTGTCATTTTACACATCTCAGCCCGACCATTTCAAATATTCAAGTATTGTTTGGGAAATGTTCAGTGAGATTAACATGATATTATTATTAGTTTGTTATCAATACTAAAGTTTTCACAGTAGGAATGGGAAAACCATGATGAATTTTGAAGATGAGCAGAATGGTAGAATTCAGAGATAGCATCAATGTATGCAGTGCGAGGAGGAAGGGAAGAAAAGAGTATAAAAGTAGGATGATGTTGCAATCTTGAAAAACACAGAGTCAAACAGAATTGCCAACAGTAATGAAGAAGTTGGGGAGAAAAGATAAGGAACCAGTTTTCAATTTCTGGTGGAGGCAATTCATCCAGGAAGAGATGTGGTGAGGCAGCTGAAGATAGAAGATATGAGATAAGAACAATCAGAGAATCCGAAAGATACAGGTAGGTTTGAGAGTTGATAATGGTAGAAGTTGTATGAGGAAGTCTACGTAAAAGGTAGCTGTAGAGAAGGGGGGCAAGTGCAAAGACCTTAACAGAGAGTCTTAAAGAGTAGGACTCTACAAAAATTACAGCCATGAAAAATGTGTCATGGACTGTTCAATCTGCTTTCCCTCTGTGACATCTGGTTTTACACTATACTATACAGATTTCACTGGGGGAGAACTGCATCTCTCTGAATCAAAAGGAAGGTTCACAAGGTTGTTTTAGGGGAATCACAGCATTACAGCTCTTATTACTTTGCTTCAGAGTTGGGAAGCCAAAGAATGATGGCTGTTGGCCAAGCATCCAGCTGTGAAGGCAGTACCACTCCAGAAGTAGTGCAGATGTAAGGGGTGGCATTGCCATCCTTACTTCTGTACTGCTACTGGCAGTGGCTCTGCCTTCAGAGCTGAGCTCCTGGTCAGCAGCTGTAACACTTCAACTGACCAGCTCTGAAGGCAGTGGGGACACCACCAGCCGCACAGAGGTAAGAGTAGCAGTACTGCACCTCCTCCCACTACACACACTGACCTTACAATCCCTTCCCACAACTTTTTGGGGGGCAGGATCCCTATAATTTAAATAGCTGATATAAAGAAATTTACGATTTTAAAAATCCTATGACCATAAAATTGACCAAAATGTAATAAACAAAATTACTATTGCTTTTGGCTTTCTGGGCTTGCCCAGAGAATCACCTTCTGAGCTCCTAAAACACTAAGTCACCAAAAAGTTTTGCCCCAGAAGAATGGCATTTTGCTCTGCCACAATGGGATTTTCATTCATCCTCAAGATGTTGTGGTATGATTCGCTTTGGCGCAGTGTGGTAATATATATTTGATATGCCTGGCAACATTTTCACATGGCAGAATAACTGTCCGTGCTTTGGGACGCAGACCCCCATTAACTCTGTCCCTGTGCACGCCATCAGAGAGGCCTGCTTCTACCTGAGGCAATGGGGGGATATACATAGGAAGCACTGGTGACCTCACACAACGAGACCGCACCATGCAACACTGTGCTGGTGCAGCGTGGTGACCTCGAGACGCACCATCCACGGTGACTTTTGGGGCCTCCATCCTTTGGAGAACCTGTGTCCCGTCCCAGCGCAGTGGCCTGGCCTTGTCAGTGCTCCTCCCCACAGCGAGACCCGTGCAGGCCCCTGGCGGCCCGTTACCTGTTCCTATGGAAATATTCCTCCCACTGGCCGGTCAGCCTCGCTTGCAGCCTGGCCAAAGTGGCCATATTCCCCCTGCCCTGATCGTGTACAGGCCGTCACCATGGCAACCAGACCGTACCATGGCTCAGGGAGGGGGAGGTAATTGTTCCCTACTGGCCGCCCGGCCCTGGGGGAATGAACGGCGAGGCGGAAAACTCTGGAGTACTGGGGAGACCGAACCCCCTCCGCAGCGATGGGTCCTCCCATCCACGCTCGCGTCTCGGCAGCTGAGCGCAGGCTAG